GTTGCTAGCAGGAGGGACAAAACATTTCGACTGATGACCTGCCAGCTCAGAAACTCCCGTCCGGTGAAACCAAACTTTTGTCAGACGTAGGAACGGTCCCGTCTGCCGGCGTCTCCACAGCTCCTGATGAGCAGATGGACGCAGCTGAAACGAGGCGAAGGACTTGTTGTTTCTCAGACAGGTGCTGCAGGTCCACCGGAGTCCACGGGAGTCTGGGATCTCTCTCTCTGCTTCTTMATTACAGACTTTTGTTTGACTATCTGTCACCCTTAAACATCCACCTTTATGAGTGTCACATCTGCTGCGAGGAACCAAATGTGTCACAGTTAGGAGTTTGGAAAAAACTTTACCKAAAACAACAGATGGACAGGTAAATGATTTAGTTCACACGACATCCACAAAGGACGCAGCAGCTCCGGATCAAAGTGATAAATCAGGACGAATCCGTAGAAACACTCAGATTTAACGGGATTAAACCGCAGATTTGTGGAGCTCATGAATAAGTTTAAAAACTCATGACTAAATTAAATCAAGCTGAAGCGTTTTGTTTTATGAATTTRACGATGCCGGGACCTGTGTATGTGGGGGAAAAAATACTGATGAGTCATCAGTTATTCACTGAGGGGGTGGGTGGGGGGATTCTAACTCTGTCCAATTAAAATTTCTGGATTTTCAGCAGAACTGGGGTCTTGTTTTGTGCTTCAGGAGGCTCCTAACTGCGTGAAATTAACAGGAAGTGCCTGAATTACTGAGGACAGGGGAGCTCTTAATTATGTTCAGCACAGGAAACTCTGGATGAAAACATGGACAGTCCTGTTTTGTGACTCCTTTACATTGTTCCTTTTCTTTTCTAATTTGTTAATGAAATAAGAAAGCAACACTTTGTTTTAAAYCTTCATATTTAATGCCTCCCCATAATATCTGACATTATTATCTGGATGACTAATCGATGCAGGACTGTCGGAGGTGAACCTTTTCACTGTTTGACCCTGAGTCATGATTGAAAAAGGCCAAATTTTAGGAAGGAGATCAGCTTTCTAATGCAGTTAATTGATCTCTAGTTAATAGAGATCAGATGTGTATAAACTGAAAAAAAAATTCAGTTTAAGAAGCTTGAAGTATCTAATGTGCTACGGTGGACCGAAACTGTCATAATTAAAATATATTGTGAAAAAGTGACTGGTGGCTAGGGGTGTAAGAAAATATCGATACACTGAAATATCGTGATATTTCATTTCCCGATACTGTATCGATATTCTAAAGCCCTGTATCGATTTTTAATTAAGGTTTAAAATGTCAACCTTCTTGCCAGCCGTCATTTTTATGTTGTAGTTCAGCCTCTGACCACTAGTTGGCAGCAGGGAGCCAGACATTTGGATCCTCTACCTCTTGAGCGCCGGACAGTAATGGTG